TGTAATTTCTGCCCCAAAACCTCTAGTGCGACATTCCTAGCCCTCACTTTTCTTTTAATCTGATGACAAACAGGTGCTACCTGTTCGAAAATTCACGAGTACAACTCGATTTTCCGAACATCGAACTGCGTTTAAGGGGTTACATGTAGTTGCGGATGCAAATACATCGGGCGCACGCAAAGGCAGTTGGCAATGCGATCAGCTGAACATATGCCGAAATGGTTGCTCGGGGCGGAACATAAAGTACCTAAGATTTCAATCACGAAGCGCCTAGTGGACACTGGCTGAGCAAAGGACTGCATTTAAGGTGACGGCAATTTCCGCTGCTACACTGGAGTTGGGGTATCATTGCCTGATGACGGCAAACAAGCCAGAAAACGCATTCGCGGTGTCCCCTTGTCTTTGTCGTTAAAAAATACATTGTTACTTAAAAATAGCGAGTATTATAAGTTTATTTTATCTTATTAATAGGCAATAACCGTTTACAGTTGAATGAGACGCCACGAAATTTAATGACGTCCTTCATAAGTCTTGCTAGTCTCGTGGTGCTTCAATTCTGACTTCATTTTAAAGGAAACCTTTGAATGCTGTTTGCAAATTATCCTGATTAAAGGATAAACACGTTTTGTTTGGGACTGAGTTACAACAATCTAATTGCGGAAAATAACTCAAACCCTGTTAATCCGGTTTTCTCTCTTTTTGTCCGTAGCATTTCTCGGTTTTTTAAATGCAGTTAGCTGACTGTCCCCTAGTACCAGGGAGGGCTTTGGGTTGGCGGTGAAAAGCTTGCTAGGATTCGACCATAGGCTTCGACCCATAATCGATCGTCGCTTATAGGCGAAACGAACTGTCCGTGTTCCTGACTCGGTGCCGGATGTGGCTACAGCAAGCCAATTTTATCAAACACCGGGAGGCGGTGGGAGATTGAGACTGGAAAGCGGTAACGCACCGGTGTTCATGTTCTTTTCGAGGTCTATCAACCCATATTGACAGCCCATGCCCGGAGCTAAATTTTAATTATATGTTCTTGCTAGCGCGTAAGCGGTGTTGAAATACTATTGAACCTTTAACTCGTATCAGCTTCTTTGAATGAAGGACCTACATTATCTAACTTTATCCTTATCAGCTAAATTTGCGACACAAAGCAAGAAGCAGTCTAGCTTTGACCCC